TTTTTCACGCTTACATAATCAGGACCAAATAGCTGGCTAGGGGGTACTACAGTTTACTCACCATTTCATTTTTTCTCCTAGCTTTGCTGAGCACCTGTTCCAACCATTCCCACTGGGCTTTGGCTTTATGAGTACTTTTCTCAGATCTGAATCCTCCTCCCGACCATAACACGCTGTTCAACACCACAATTCTTAGTTTGCTATGCGACTGCTCTATCGTATAGAATCCACCTGAGAACGAAGATTTAAGATTAGACGTCATAAAATTCAAATCGCATCTCCACTGCATAGCTGTTTTCCGTGTTTCCTCTGAATACAAATATCGTGTTTCTGGCACCATTCTACATACGCTTTATTTTCGAGTTAAGCTGCTTTACGTTGAATATCTTTTCGTACGATCTGTGTTTACGTTGTATTCGAAATTTAAAGCTGCTGGATACTTGTACTTTACGGTAGCAGTATTTAAAACTAAGATAGGTACATCGACACGTTCAGAAAAATATACTGAGTTCTAGGACAATAAAAGCCGTGGTAGCCTACCTACCGCCTCTCAAGCAAAGGTCGTGGCGTCGCCGAATCCGGGCGCGCATCTCTTGGTTTTCGGAATTTATGTGTGAAATTTAATTTGAAAATTACCATGAGCTTTCCTGTGAAGAAAAACATTGTGATGAAACCTGCACGTGGAAGAAGGTTCACAATTCTCGGAAAACTTGTGAATTCTTCAAACCGCACTGGGCCAGCGTGGCGGACTATGGCCTAAAACCCTCGCCTGAGAGGAGACCCGTGCCTAGCAGTGAGACGCGCAAATGGGTTGATGATGATGATGGCGATGACATAAACCATGTACAGGAGTATAAAAAGTATCCGTAACGTTTCTATTTCATAGGAAGCAACTCACTTACTCTCTTCAAAAGTTTGTAAAGCATCAGAAGGTAGCCACTGCATCCACATATCCATAAGGCGTCTCGAAGGTGAGGGGTCGTTGTGCCCCAGCGCTGGGAACACGAACTGACTGCTGAATGTTCGACTTAGAACGTCCGTTACATTTCTAACTGCTTCCAGCTGGAACTCTTCACTTGTGTGTTCCATTGTTGATGAGAGGATGTCTCTGCATATAATTATTCCTTTTTAAAAACCAAAAAATTCCATATTTTTTTTATAATAACTAGTCATGCAGCGACCAAATCGCAAAGATTTTATGGGCACTACGCCCGTCACCCTGAGACATAAGTTGACAAATCTTATGTGCCTGTAATTTCACCAGCACCCTTCTTAACCGGAACGTAGTAATACCCACATTACTGCTTGGCGGCAGAAATAAGTAAGGAAGTCATTTATTAAAAATTTAAATGACTACCTCGGTGGTCGAGTGGCTTGCACGCCGGTTTTTATAGTGTCGCCATCTCGTAGGTACCGGGTTCGATTCCCGATCGGGTCAAAGTCAGAAACTAACTTTCCTATATTGTCTCGGGTCTGGGTGTGTGTGACACCGTCGTTGTTTCCGATTTCCATAACACAAGTGCTTTAATTACTTACTTTGGGATCGGAATCAGATTTGTTTATAAAGCTACTTGGACAAGGTGATTTCGATTATCTTTTTCGACCCGTAAAACCGTGAACCGAAAGGCAATCAAAGCAATGTTCGGAAAAAAACAATAATATAAATATGAACAACAACAAAGTATTATTTTTATTTATACCAGGTTCTCTTTATCTTATTAGTTTTATTTGAATAAATGTTGGAGTAGCGGAGATAAATGGCATGGCATAACCTGTTGCGTACAAAAAACTAAGTTGTGCTATACGCGGAGCATGTTATAAAAATCATCGTGTAGCGTCTTTTTGTTTGTTATTTCAAACATGCATGCGTTATGAGGCGGAGTTTTGTACGTTTGCATAATAAGACAATAATGCACAGGATTTGTCTTTATTAGAAACGATATCAAATACAAAGACTGAACGGGGCATACTTTGGCGTCGAGCCAGAATGTAAAGAGTCATGTATACAATGAGATGCTATTACTTTTTCATATAACTGAAAAGGTTTCGACCGCTTACTATTTATGGCTTTTGTGGCTTTACATTTTTCAATCCAGACGCGGTCGAATCGCGCCGGGCGTAATTTCCGGTCTGTCTTGTGAATGGCGCTGTGTACAGTTTTCTACAATGCATAGACTTTAGCGTAAAGTTGTCGTACGCAAACATGAAAAAATTACTAAGGTAATGTATCAAAATGAACATCGCACTGTTAATGCAATAGTCAGAATCGATCAGAAACGAATTACTCACTTTCCGTGACAGATTATAAAAAAATATGTCAAATAGGAAATGAAATTATTTTTCCGGATTTAAATAGCGTATGTTTGTTTTTTCAAACAAACCGACGTTTTGGGCCCTTTACAGGTCTCATGGTCACGGTTGACTGAGGTGGTAAAGTCATCAACCAGGTATGTCTAATATTAAAGCAAAACACCTTGTTTTTTCACTATAGTTACAAAAGTTATTAATTAAGTACCTTATTTTTAATTTTACGAAGAACATTCCGACTTGCGCTACATCTGTCTTACAAATTTATTACTTTAATTTAAGAATATGAAATTTATAGTGTAAAAGTAACGGGACTTACTCGCGTAGTATTTTAGTCAGAAGCGGTCCGACTAGTTTCAAGCATAGTGTATGGTCGCCATCAGGGGTTGAGTGCAACGTTCGCGACCGCGTCACGTCTAGCACTACGCACTGCGGCTCTCTGCGCGCGCGGCGATGACGCAGTCCGCAGTGGGGAACTCGGGGGGCTGATACGTCGCGTCAGTGCGTCCTGGAACTCTTCTTCGCTACTGCTGTCCGTAGAATTGTTGTCGGGAACAGTCCAGCACAAGTGGCTAGACGTGTAGCGGTCGAGAACGTTGCACTCAACCCCCGATGAAGAACATCGATTATGGTTGAAACTAGTCGGACCGCTTCCGACTAAAATACTACGCGAGTAAGTCCCGTTACTTTTATACTATAATGTTTGATAACCGCGTCAGTTTTCGTAATAAAATATGAATTTTTAATTAAGTTAAATTTATTATTAATAACAATGGAAATTTAAGTAAATTAAAACATACTAATCAGTACTGCAGTCTTATGTCTGTTAGGGATTTTTCATCAAAGGAAATATTGGATCCCAAACTGGTGGTACGTAGAAACCATCTTCCCTGTTGAAATCAGGATGTTTTTTGATTTCAATGGCATCTCGCAGCATCCTGGGTAAACGTTGGTTTGTTTGAAATAAGAAATATACGCGATTTAAATCGGAAAATATAGTTTCATTTTCGATGAGTAATTTCATCTTTTTGAGTAAGAACTCTTTTGTACAGAACTAGCTCAGAAAAAGTTTCTCTCATTTTGAGTTAAGTAGATTTCTTTGAATTGTTTCTCACATATTCTAATGGCGGTTGTATTGATGTGTATAGAATCAAATTTTACGGTCAGCAATAGTATAATCTCGAATATCACGTATTTTGAGTTACAAAGCTATTGTAATAGCAGTGCCATATGTTATAACTCATAAGAAATTATTTAGTTAAAATTACGAATATACGAATAATAAATAACAACGCGCCAGAAAACCCCAACAATTCATTGTGAGTACCTAAGCAGCGGAATTCATCCCGAGGTACTACCCAGAATACTCCAACAAGAACCAATTTAAGTAGCTCATTTTCCAAATTTTACGTAGAATTGAACCAGGAACTTTCTCATCCAGCGCCCACAATGCAAATCGTTGAGTCACTAATGTTTTTATTTAAAAAAAGCGCTACGTAGAAAAACATCGCGTCACTTACAAAAATGTATCGATTCTCAAGTAAAAGTACATTAAGTTTTGTTTCGAATTGCGTGCTCTTTTGGAATAAATATTTTTAACAAATAATTATGCACATGGTACCAGTATCTACGCATTGACACAAATTTTAATCAAGCCAATAATGAAATAAAACGAAGTGACCAACCCTGTCCAAAGCACAAACTCGAGCGTATCTGGATGTCGCTCCGCCATGAAAGCGGCGGCACTCTGTATCAAGGAATATGAGCTGTCACACGTATGGTCCCGGTGTCTGCCGTTGCGATGGCTGTGCTCGCTGTTTCCACGGTTGTGGCGACAACCTAGTTTTCAAGCAAAACTTTGTGAAGGAAATTTGTATTAAGATAATTGTATACATTGTTAAATTAAACTTATTTACGTATTTGAACTTCCATCTAAAAGCTAACAATATGAAATACAAAATCTGAACTTGACTAAATTTGAGAATTGAAAGGGTTAAAAATAGTGTTGCAATGAAAAGTATATGAGGTAGAATATGAAATAATTGGACAGAAGCGTAGCCGTATAGCCGAACGTTCGGTCATATTATTCAACTTGATTAAGGCATTATAGAAATTGGCAAGTGAAATATCACTTATTATCTACAGTTACAATAAATAGATCCCTTCCATGTATACATTGAAACAAAAAAGTGCTTTCATTTTCAAGTTTATAATTTAAATTCCATTGGTCCATCTATGTAACAGTTTTTCATAACTAGTTACGAAAGAAGATTTCCATCACTGATTCGTAACCAGTTATTAAAAAGGAATATTTAATCCATATTCAAAACTCCAGTTACGAAAATGGATGCAGATTTGTTATGACTTAATAAAGAAAGTAATCGTTTAATTCACTTTAGTTAGATTAACTTTCAAAAACTTAAATTTATTTGATTTGGAAATAATAGGTACTTCGTTGATTTTGTTAGCGTTTATTTAGCCCTGAGTAAACATAAATATGTAGTTTTCATGTAATATTTTTTTATCTATTAAGAAAACATCGTAATTATGATACATGTCCTTTGATCTTCTAGATAAAAAAACGAAAAATTGCGCTTTTGTGAACTTCTGTATTGTATGTTCAACATTAATACATTTTCGATAATAATTTACTGTGTTTTTATCATTTTTTCCTACTGTTTTTAGGTATTTAGTCGAATGATGATTAAATAATCGTATTTCAGCCGAATAACAAAAAGCAAGTTGAATAATCCGAATACCGAACTGTAATCAAATATTCGTTGCTCCTCTAGTTAAAAGCTTTTTGAATATTTTAATTACTCTATTAATAATTTTACTTAATTACTGTATTAATAATTTTAGAATTTCTAATTCTAAAACTATTTATACAAAGATCGAACAGAAAGAAAAATTACTTTCCATCTGAACTCGAACCTGTGTCTATACGCCAAAATAGGGCCACCGCGCTACCAACTAGTTTGGCATACAGACGTAGGTTGAGTCCTGTCAGATCAAAGAAATTTTTCTTCGTATTTGATCTTTGTATTAATAAATAACAAACTATTAAGTAATATGCTAGTTAAACATCATGAAATTGAATAAATCAATATTAGAAAAATTTTAGTTTTGCAAACTTTTGGTTCTAAATTTTGAAGATGTTTTAAGTAGTTCATATTTCATATCCAGTGAATGAGCATTGTAGGTTTTGCTGGCCCGTTCCGAAGTATAATTTATCAATGTTAAAGATAATATATATTCTTTGTAGTATTTTCTATTGTAGTCCTATTTAGAAATGTAATCGATACCAAACTTAATGTATACGATGTATTGAAAATTACGACAGCAACTTGAAAAAAAAATTTTAGTTGGATATTAAATAATATTCGCAGAATGCTAACCTTGAAGCGAAAGATAATGAAATATCACGTAATGTGAAACAACGAAACGAAATGAAAATTTATGAGCGGGAAGAGGTTCATTATATGAAAATAAAAGAGAAAATTTAATGGCTCACCTCTGTGGAACTCTGGCGAATTGTGGAATGGGTCATAATGAAGATCAGTGATGTGCCAAAAATATCCTGCAAATGAATATCATATTTAAATACCATAATAATAAAAGTAGCATGCTTTAAGTAATGACGAAGACGCCAAAGAAAAATGGTATTAAAGTAAAAGACGTAATATTAAAACAATCGAAAATTTGATGAAAAAATTACGAAAAACAAGGGTTATAAGAAAGTTAGACAAATAAGCAAAAAATCTACAAAAAGTAATAAAATTTCTCAACTTTCACAAAAATATACTCTTTTAAATTTTTTCGTTCACAAAAATTTTAACACGAAGCTGCACAAGACATTTGGACACAAAGAGTTTTACAACTTACGTCTCAAATGTCCCCACATTTACACCGACTTCACAGTAAACAAAGTCTGAGACAGTAAAACCACAGCACGTAATGAAACAAAAAGTCGTCGTAGTAAAAACCAAAGAAGTAGCTAACTACAGTGGCTATAAACTTGTAACAAGGTAGTGAAAAAGTAAACTAAGTCTGTGTGCTGCCACAACGAATTACAGATTATTTAGAACAATAAAATAATGGTCCAGCAAAATATTCATAAGTTACTAAAGATACTGTTCTTCTAAAAGTAGCAACTTGACAAAATGAAAAACATAGAAACAAGAGTAAACTAAAAGCACAGACTGATAGTACTGTATTTGCATAACACAGCAACTGTTTTAGCCGTCTTGTATTTCTGTACGAGTATATTTCTACATGTTGACAGCAAAAAGGAAAAAAGAAAGGTTTTGTTTTCACAACATGTTTTCTGAAACGTCAAAAGAGTAAAAACCAAAACCTTGTACCTTTCAGAATGACAATAATAAAATTTAATTCGAAAAGTTTAGAAGTTAGATATATTTTCGATTCACTCACCAATTTTAGCGTCAGTCAAATTGAGCCAGATAAGGCTGATACACAAGATGAAATTGCTCGACTTCATGTTACAATGTACATGATGGTCGACTAACGGCACGCTGGTCCCCACCAGTAATCATCGTACACTATTTACATTGCCTGCGGACAAGGAAAACGCTAGTAAGAAAAAAAATAAGGATATAGAATAAATTGTTACAACGATGGTCTGAAATAAACACGTTATTTATTTTACTGGAACGTTTTGATAAGACAATAATGAATGTGGTGGAATGATAAATATTAATTACCTTGATCTAGCAGCGAATAAAAATATCTCGTATCAGTTATATTTGGTAACTATAATTCTATTGTTACAATTACATAACAAAGATGATTTCGACACAGTTTTAATTTACCAGACAATCATACCGATTACGTGGTACTTTGAGTAACACAATATCAATCGACTTCATTTTTTGAAATGTATTATATAAGATAAAATTTATAAACAGGCAAATTTATTTTATATCATACATTATAAAACGGGTGTTTTGCTTAATTGTTCGACAGAACCCAAAATTTTTATCGTAGGATTGATTTAAAAACATGTGCACACACACACACATACACACAGGGAGTTTCAAAATTGTAAAAGACGTAGCGTCTGTCATACAGTTTTATTTAAAACTAGTAAGTATGGACGCTAATGGTCAAACTTATCTTAAAATGTTCCTCGTATAATAATATCACATCATTTTAAGATACCATGCAATTATTTTGGGTAACCTATTACAAACTCGAATTTCTGTTATCCGAATTTTATTAGTCCGAAAACGGTTCGACTTTTTTCATTAGTGCGATGACAGTTTTGGTATAAATTTGCAACATAAAAATGTCTTACAGCAGAAGTATCGTTTATCCGGAAACCTATTGTTAGAATAATTATTACACATACGTATTCTTTGGCCAGAAGTTTGTTTGGTCTAATCATGTTTGTTATACTGTCTGCTTTCCATATAATTTAGATTGCTGAAAATTCGTTTCGACAAAATTACAATTCTTAGAAAAAATTGTACCGCCATACAATTTTACCATACAGCTCCAAAATTCTAGACTGTACTTTGTCGGTGCACAGCAAGTCTACTTACGTAATTTTCGTACTTGTACACACGTTTTTGTGCTATGTTTTTGCTGTCATCTGAAATGTAATTTAAAAACAATGGTCTTGAGTATTCAATAAGTAACTTAGGCGAGTGCCAGAGCCGAATTTGTTTGCGTTTGAATTTGGTGCGACCCCCTCCTGTGGGTTTAGGTTAGGTTAATATATGAAAAAGCCGCACGAGGCGAGCGAGTGTAGCGAGCGTGTCACGACAGCGGCCGGCGAGTGAGAGAGCCGAATTTGTTTGCATTACCTAGACGGTACGACTCCCTCCTGTATGTTTAGGTTAGTATATGAAAAAGCAGCACGATCAGAACGAGCGAAGCGAGTTTTCTAAAGATGCAAGGTGCTTTAATTTGACGAGTTGTATTGTGCGACACGTTCTAATACTTTAATATCGTTTTTTTACAAAATAAAAATATTCAATTAGTTACATTGGTATAATTTAGTTTGTTGAGGAAATAAAAATCGGGAAAACAATACTTGTCAATATATCAAAATAGTGCAATTTAAATGGTGTAATAAAAAAAACCATAACGTGTTTGCAGACAAATGAAATAAAATCTATTCAATAAAAGTCTAAAGGTTTTCGGAGAAACAAAATTCTATAAATCATGTTTCCAGCTTGTGATAGGTAACCATTATTTTGACCAGAAATAGGCAAGCGCGCGGGTTTTAACGCCTGAACTCGAGGGCAAAAACTAGTTACGTCTAAATATTTGTTGTAAGTAAATCGAGTTTTGTTCAATTTAATAATAATATTACAAAATGTTTATCGCTTTCTGATCTGACACGATTCGAATAGTCACTTGAATCGATTGTCATAAACATCCAATCGTAATGTGCATCCTTAGTCGTGAGAATCCATTGGATTGCTAGGTTGTCTCTTTTTCGCCTAAAAAAAGTTTTTACATCGAAATATGTAATAAGTATGAAATTATACCAAACCTCATATTCGCCGTTTTTGCCCACGATTTAGGGCAGAATTGGGTTAAAACTCGGTTAAAGTGCGGGCACGTTGATTGGGTTTTAACCCACTGCCCATCTCTGATCTTAACTCAATCAAGATTTATTATACTTAATTATTATTACTTATCCAGACGCATAATGGCCAAAATATTGTAATACAACTTAAAAAAGCAATCATATTTTGAAGTCTACTTTAAAGTAATAACATGAAAAATTCAAGTCTTCCTCTAGGTTAAGCACGCGTAGCTAGCATATGCAGCGTCCGTAACTTGTCAACTACACGGACACTTACCCTACGGCTGACACACTTGTCCTACCCAGAGGTGCATTCAACTATGAGACCAAGATACTGGGCTCACAGCTGCGTGAACACGGATAACAGAACAAAGAATACCGTATGTTACGTTAAATCAGCTTTTAAAAGTTTATCCTGAAAGTATTTAAATGAGTAGGTAAATGTTTCACGAGACACCAGATATTATTCTCCGTGTAATTACTCGGATATCTAGTGTCTGTATATGAATAGTTTGTGTTTTAAGTAAAGTTTAATTTTATGTATTTTCTATTATTTTGTTTAGGGTTTTGTTTCGTAATTAATTATTTATGTTTTACGTATGAATATTGTGATTATGTTTTGTTTTTGTTCTAGTTTGTTTCGTTTCTTTTTTTTTACTTTTGTGGTGTCATTTGAGGTAAACCAACACAATATGTACTTTCTTTCTTTCTAACTTATTTTGTATTGTCCTTAATTGTGAGTATAATGTAAATATTTTCATCTGGAGCGTTCCAAACTATTATATTTTTTAGTATGTTTATTTTATTGAAGTCGAGCCGGTGCCTGCGACGTTGTCGGGACTTTGTATCTAGTTTTTTTCTTGGTATGTATAAATATTTTCTGGAATTTTATATAGAGAAACCAAGGAAAGAACCAAAAGTACAGGATAGCAACGGCACACTGCGTTTTTACTCTTTTATATTACAAATGCTGCTATCGGCACTGCATAAAGAAATACATTATTGTATATATATACAATACAATAATGTATTAAGAAATACATTATTGTATATATATACAATACAATAATGTATTTCTTTTTATAACCGCACAGAGTGATTTAGGAACAATGGCGCTTTGGTCTACGACAACAGAACAATTTCAGTAATAAGTGTATTTTTTGTTAATTATTATAATTTCGGTAATTTAGAAAGACTTTAGATTTATAATTTTGAAAGACACTGAAGTTTCAGTTTTAGACAATGAATTTTCAGAAAAACCTAATAATCTCCTTCCTAATATGGGTTTTTCTTTTCTAAAAATAGTTTTCTGATCATGAGATATTTCTGGACATTTTCGTGGTATCAAAGAGATAAGAACGAAATATCAACCAAATCAATTAATTAACAGTAGAGCTCCTTGTGAAAGGGTTCGTCCAGTGAAATACTGCCACCATACCTATTTATGCCGTCAAGCACCAATGCGAGGATTACTGCGTTCCGGCTTTGAAGGATAAGCTTGCTAGTGAAATTGCAGGCACATGAGACTTGTCAACTTATGTCTCAGGGTGACGGGTGCAGTGGCAGTGCCCTTCAGATCTTTGCGATTTAAATTACTTAGGGCGAATCAAACATAAATAAAATCTCACGATTCACTCTTTAATATTCAAGCATTACATATTTTTATCACACACGAGCTGTTATTTATGTTCGCGCAAATATTTTGAATAAATCATTGGCGGTTTATTTACCACTTTACGATTTCGGTATTTGTACAAATTCTTGACAATAGAAAAGCTTTTTAAGCTTATTATTATACATTATGTATTATATATTTTTTCAATAATACCAAGTTGTGGTAGTATTGTTGCGTTGTGTATAATTCAAAGATTCGCATGAAGCCTTACGCTTCCACATTTATATGGCGAACGACTATGGAGTGGAATTCCCTGCTGCAGGCTTGTTCCCTGAACGCTATAACTTGGACAGTTTCAAGGCGAGCGTGAATGGGCATTATTTACGTGTGCATGCTCCATCTTCGACCTCATCGCCACTTTCCATCAGGTGAGGTGGAGGTCAAATGCGCACTAACATTTTATTTAAAAAAAGTAACGAGACGAAAGAGTCGTGCGACTGGTGGAAAGAGAGACGCCTATCCATTACAGTTGCAGTGCCACTTAGAGCTTTTAATCGCAAAGATCTTAGGGGCACTGCCACTGTGCCCGTCACCCTGAAAATTAAGTTGAGAAGTGCCATGTATCCGTAATTTCACCAGCACCTTTACTCTTCTAAACCGGAACGCAGTAATGCGCACATTACCGCTTGGCGGCAGAAATAGGTAAGGTGGCAGTAGTACCCTGGACGAACTCTTTCACAGGGAGCTCTACTGCTATTATATAGTATAATTAATTTAATGAAAATCAAATAAAATAACCTTTAATTATTAACTTATCTAAGCAAAAACACATTTAATTACAGTGCTGTAATTACATCGCAGATCTCAAAAGGAATTAATTAATTAACACTTTTTGCTTGCCCATTTATTTTACCAACAACGTAAGTATAAGCAAAGGCAAATTATCGTAAAACGATTCCTTTCCCTGTCAAGACAAAGTGGTAGGACATGTAGATGAATTCTCAATAAATGTAATATCAACAGAAGTACACATAATAATAACACAACCAGGCAGCCAAAATATTATACCAAGAACTCGCTCTGAAGTACGGACTCGTGCAACAGACTTCTTGATGATGACAGATGTCTTATTACAAGTATTCACTGGAATCTTTGCTCGAAGACAACCGCACCAAAACCTATGGGAGATCCATTATCACAGACAAGAATATTCTTGCAAATAAACATGATATTTTGATATTGGATCGATCGCAGTCGAAGATATTTCTTGTGGACGTTACCATCCCGCATTACGAGGGTCTCGTGAAAGCCGAAACCGAGAAATGTCTTAAATATCTCGATCTGACGCACCTGATGTGGAATGTGGCCTCAACTAAAATAATTCCACGCTACCAGCATGAA